AATAATCATTTTGTTCAAAATGAATTTAATTATTTTGATTTTGAGGATCGCTTCGGATTTTGACAATTTTGGGTTGGATAATCAAGCAATGGTGAATATCAACAAACGTGTATTCGTTGATGTAAAATGAACTCATTTGTTCATTTCGCTCGTACTTTAAGCCTAGTATACAGATCGAAGCGAAACGAAAATTGAAGCACGCTAAAAATCATGAAATTTCGCTAGCGAAAAAGGTTGTGAAAAAATGTTTGTGGAACATTTTCCAGTTTCCTTTTTTCGCAGTTTACAGTTCATGTGAAACGAAATCGGTCAGTTTACACCTCAGGTGAAGTGAAAATCTGACAGATACGCTCTTTCTCGAAACGTCAACTTTTCGCTTACCTGCTGCTCTTTTCGCTAGCGCTGCATGCGCGAAAAAAATGAATGTAAGCGAAAAGATACGATCCACAAAATAAGATTTCGCTGGATCGCATCTGTTTACAGTTCAAAGCGAAGCGAAATATTTGCCAATTGCGTTTTTCACGCAGGTGAAAAATTTAGTATTTTGTATGAATTTTTCGCTTCGCTTCGATCTCTATACAGGCCTTTACAGCGAAGATATTCAAAACGAACGCAATTCATCTACCCTGTGTTGAAGCGCTACTCCATGCGTGCGATGATAAATCATAAAAAGAGACACTGGTCAACATACTCTTTCAACCCCCATGGCCTTGTATAGACATTGCCAGCTGTTTTAAATGCACAGTTCTATAAAAGAAGCTATCTAGCGTCTAATACAGCACACACGACAAGAAACGATATTGTAGCTACGTTATTAATGAAAGAGAAAGTCGATGAAGAAAATCAAGGAAATATCTCTAAATGATAAAATGACAAGCGATCAACGAACCGAATGATAACGCTATGCCAGAAGTGGAAAGCAATAATGATATCCAGTTTTCCATGCTCGGTAATCGCGGCATGTTTGTATGAATAAACGTATCCTTCACTGTGCTTTTTGACACTAATTGGAGGACGAATGTTGTTTCATTTTCTTCTGTTCCTGGGAGAGGGAAAGGGAGGGATCAAAATTCGAACCTCCAGATAGCACAGTGAAGGATACATTTATTCATACAAACAGGCCGTAATTACCGAGAATGGAAAGCTGAATAATCTTCTCTCTTTTTATGACAAGCAGCCCGTGCGACATAGCTCACTCGGGGCGGTAGAAGGAAACGAATAAATTGTTGGCAAGCTGCTTCGCGAAGTAAAGCCAAAGATGATACGCGTGTGTTAATGGGATTTTTTTTGTTATGTCTTTTCTCGATCCAGATCAAGCTATGTCCTCATCCATGTATATTTCAGAAAAACAGGCAAGCAATATATTATTCCAGACTAGCATTTGAAAAGGGCGTAACTCCAAAATGTAAACAAACCATATTTTGCCACATATAGAGATAACAGTCCACAAACTGCTCGACAAACACGAACAAGTAGAAGAAAATGTAACTTAAAATCATCAAAAACGTTTTATCTTACATGGCGTATTTCCAACTTTCAACTCTATGATGCATCTGGTTGTTACGCCTTGCACCAGAACTGAGAATTATATTGTTTTAATATGGCAAACGTTCTGATTCTGTAGTATCTAGTCACGTCCAATTCATTTGAAATGCATCCGATTGATATTTCACGTGTAAGCAACGAACAAAAACAAGACCAAAAAATCTCCGGGCGTTATTCCACTCTCACAAAATTTGCGAACGAAGAACCAAGGCGGAACAACAAACGAAAAATCCCGAGGGTGTATTTTCACGGCGTATCACCAGTGTTGGCAGTTCAAAGGATGGAAGATCCGGGGGGTAACAATATGTATGAAATTATCAGGGCGTATGATGTTTTATTCTCCATTTTACGCCAAAGAAAACTTTTTTTTTACGTTTTAGTGATGCATGATGATAGATTACACTTTTAACTATATGTAAAGCTTATAAAATCATCCAGAAAATGGAAAGTCGTGAAATAGGATTAATTTTTAGGTCATCAAAATTTGAAAGCGATTTTCACGATATGGTCATTTTGGTGTTATGCCCTTTTCAAATGTTAGTCTAGCATTATCCTACTATCACTCAGATTGAGCTATGTTACAGAGTGAGTTTGTCATATTAGTAGTAGCAACCGTTTTGACTGTATCGTTGGTTGCTTTATGTGCTGGATTCGCTGCTGCGTAGCTTTTAAACTGGGTTTAGACTGGGCAAGTCAAACCAACCAGGTTCAACTTTTTTCAATTCAAGTGAGTTGATCAAGTCAGTTGAATGTCATGGTTTACACGTTCAATTCGTGTTCAAGTCAGTTGAATTAAACTGACTTGATCAATTGACTTACCCTGTCTAAACCCAGCTTAAGAGTTCCTTACGATGAAAGTGAAAGTGTTGAAATTCAATAATTTAAGTGGAATGATTATCACATCAGCATACATGGTCTCCGTTTATTAGGTTATGGGGAAATGTGATATAAATTTTCCAACCGTTTTCAAATAAATACATACTTAGCAAATATCAACATATCTTTTTATTTGTATTACCTAAATTAATTGCTTCGCACTGATCATTACGGACATATCGATTAAGAGTAAATATTGAACATATGAATTCTAAAATGCTAGCTCCATTCACAAGCCTACTGGTTAAGTGTGTTTCAAATAAAATGTGGTTCAAACAATTATGTATTGTAAGCTGTATTGTCTTGGAGTCAATTATCCATTTCACGATTTTTTAAATCTCGATATTCCTCGCTCGGCGATTTTTGGATAGTCCCTTCTGATTCCCATCCAGGTCTCTATAACTCGATATTATCTCTGAATCAACCATTTTCTATGTTGATTGTCCCTATTCGCTAACAAAGCTATTCAAACGATGGATTGGGTCCTAAGGCTGTGTTCCATTTGGTGAATTTCCACTTATTTGACACTTCCAATTTATTTGACAGATGCAAAATTTTCAAATATTCCTGCTATTCTACCAGGCTTATTTGTGGCAGACCAGGAATCGATTTGAGCAAACACCTTCTCGAAAATCGGACCATCAAAAACAGAAGGATTTTCTAACATTAAAATATATTTTCCAAGTGTAAAATTTAAGAAAATATTTAACATTATGTAATACCCCGGACAGACTATGGCTTATATCATGTAATATAGGCTGCCTTGCAATGAGCACTCATACGTCTAGTTTTCACTGGAAATCCTATGTATGAGTGCTCATTGCAAGACAGACTATATTACATGATATAACCCATAGTCTGTCCGGGGTATAACATTGACAAATTCTCATCGTCAACATTACTCTCCATATGTCGAAGGAAAAATCTAGTTCACTAGTTTTTAGTACGGCTGAAGTTTTCAATCGAAATTTGCTTTGGGTACCGGATGAGCAAAATAATAGACTTTTTGTACCCCGAAGTGCTTCTAGAATTATACAAGTAGGCTAATAAATTACTGTTCTGAATGTCGATCTCTCCCTTCTCAATATCGAAATATGTAAAGTTGCGCATTAAATTCAGTTTTCAACACTTTCTAAATGCTAAACTCGTAGGTCATTTGTAAGAAGGGCTGAAATTGCGTCTTTCCATGTTTTGCCCTAACAATATATTTATGGTACCATAGCTACCTGTGTTACTTGTTGAGTTTGACTGAAAATTGAAAGCCGTTACCAAACGGCCGATTCAAACAGAAATAATCTGAAAACAAAATCCACTGTAGAGTACTAGAAATCGTACTTTTAAAGTGATTCTAACCAGAAGCCACTTCTGGTGCAACTTCGCATTTTCCAGGTCAATTACATACAATAACACAACGTCCCCGTGCGACGCAGCAAATATTTGGCGATGCAAATTTAATGTCTGAAATCGCAAAAGTGTTCGAGCTTAATTCCCTAGAAAACTCGAAGTGGCAGTGCATGTGCCTATGATTTGTGGGCGCTGGATCGTGTCACAAAGCTGAAAAAAAAAATCTGCTGCCTCAAAATCGACACCGGTATTTATCTAAACGAATAAATTTATGCGCATCTTGTTATGTAAACCTTAGGTAACGGTAAACAACCAGTTCTAAGAATTAATAATGTGTTGCAAATTAAAACTACAATCGTTGTACCCCAGTGCCCTGGCTATGACTAAGACTAATGAGATTCTACGCATTCTAGCAAAAACAATAATTTAATTTACCGAAATTATTTTGTGCCTTCCCGTTATTGGCACCACATATCAAGAGCCACATGTGAAAAGGGCATACAAGCTTGTTGTAAACAAACCTTTGTAGGCCCTTTTCTCGCCAACCGAGGGTCCCCTACGGAAACTAATAACATCATCGGGAAGGGGAAAGCTTCCCCTATCCGGTGATGATGATAGTTTGAGTTGGTGTCATATGGGTAGCGAGAAAAGGGCATCCCCGGTTCATGAATTGATGGGTCGATAGGTAGGGTCCAGGTGTGGGAGCTGCCTTCCTGGCATCGGTAGCATTGGTGCTCAGCACGGAAAACAAAATCAACCTAAAACAAACCAAGAGAAAAGGGCATAAAAAGGTTTGTTTACAAAATGCTTGTATGCCCTTTTCACATGTTGTTCTTGATATACTTTTACTTCTATGCTTTCAAGAAAAATCCATCGAACCCGGTGTTCCAGAACAACTAGAACAACAATCAAATTCGATTTAATCCACCTGGTGGTCCCCCTGCAAAGAAGGCAGGAATCTGAGCTTGAAATGGGTCAGGCTGTGGCAGTAGAGGTGGGCCTTGTGGTTGAAATTGGGCCGCTGGAGGTGCACCTCCCCTATTAAACCATCGCGTTATCCCGGGTGGGCTAAAGTACGGCATTAGCGTTCTCACGTTGGACCAAAAAAGCTCGGACATGAAGTACTGGCAGCTGGCATAAATACTTCTGATAAAGTTCATGTACATTTGGAAACTCGACGACATCGTAGTGGACATGAATGCTAAATAATGTGACAAGGGTGTCCACAACGGTAGTGGTGGTGGTGCTGGCGGAAATTGTCCATCCATGTGACCAGGGTGTTGGAAGGGTTGATGATGATAAGGATTCGGTGGCGGTGGAGGACCGTGACCAGCCGCATTCCATAGATGGTAGAACTGCGGGGCTGGAGTCATTGTTGTTGTCTGTTGCTGAACCATGGCAGTAGTCGAGTGTTGCTGGGGCTGCTCCATTTCGTTGTGAGCAGAACTCGATAATCCGAAAAAACTTCGTCCTATTCTACGGTTGAAGCTTAGCTGCTATTCTATCGGTGGCATAGCGCGAGGTCCATATCCGGACTCACGGTCGTACAGGACAGATTGCGAGTGATGAGCATGATGATGATCAAGAGGGTGATAAAGTCCGTAATGAATTCCGGTTGAAGCTACCTGTAAGTATAGAATTCGAAAATGGATGGTGTTTCTATTATGAGCTGAAAAAGCTTATAAAATGTAATGTAGAAAATGTAATGTAGAAAATGTTGGCAAACCATTGCAGACTAATAAAAAAGGGTCAGAATTATGATTTATTTGATTTTGATTAACTCTGGACATGAAAGCATACAACCTAGGGGGCTGTTCATAAACTACGTAGACTCATTTTGAGAGGCCGCGTAATTTCAAAATATTGAAAAGCCCAGATCTTCTATTATGATTTAAAATGCAGTTCAACATCTTCAATGTCTAGAAAATCCTAGTCTTAAGATCTTAAAAATGTCAATGAGTCCCTGATTCTAGTACATGTTTTGCAATCATTTGTTTTTTTTTTGTCCGCGATCTCGAAATGCTTTGCCTGGAACTCATTTTTTTAAATCATGGTTTAAAAAAAATCTTACATCAATCACCACTATTCAATATGTGGATCTAATGAACAAAACAGCCAAAAAACGACCTTCGAAAAACTTAATGCTCTGCATCTCAGGCATATTTTAAGAATCAGAGACCTGAAAAATGGGACTTAGAAAATTTTGACTTGAAGCTGATCATATGTCAAAAATCTTGAAGTTAAAAAAAATGTTGCTGAGTTAGATCACACTTCCTGTCCCCTTTGGCAACGCCAATGCGGCACATTTAGGTATTCTAAGACTTTTGAACTTAACTAATTTTATCCTGTTATCACATGAATTATACATTTCCAGAACAACATGTGAAAAGGGCATACAAGCTTTTTGTAAACAAACCTTCTTATGCCCTTTTCTCGCCACCCATATGACACCAACGCAAACCTTTAACATCATCGGGTAGGGGACACTTTCCCCTTCTCGATGATATTGCTAGTTTGCGTAGGCGACCCTCGGTTGGTGAGAAAAGGGCCTACGAAGGTTTGTTTACAAAAAGCTTGTATGCCCTTTTCACATGTTGTTCTGGATTTTATGAATAATCAACAATAGAAATTTAAGGTATAAGAAGATTTCTATCCGTGTACTCATATTATTTTTCAAATGAAAATTACGTGTAAAGGCCAGAAATCGATGAATGACTCCTGGGTTGGGTTGTTGAGCGGGAGGGGGTTTAACATGCACGTTTTTTCAAGTCTCATTCCTCATTGTGGTGGACACGCCGTGATCCACCTTTAGCCGCTGACCTAGTCCTGCTTGATGCAGGACCTAGTGCCACGCCGTCCAAAGCGGTAATGAGCAGAGGCATGAGAGCAGCGCTGATTTATATCTTTTCAGGTTCAAGCAGAATGATGTGCAACCAAGTGGTATTCGTTTATGATGACTGGGTTTGGGAAAAAGGCTTATTTCATAAAATCAGTGATAAAATTATCATTTGTACATTTTCAAAAGTTTAATTACAGAAAAATTGGAAAAAATATTTATTTCAACAGGTTCGTAATGTAATATCCTATCGATCGGCGTATTTGGATTTCATTTTCATCTATAAATGACAAAATTACAAGCGTTCAAAACCTAACACTCCTTCACCACACATATTCTTTGATTTGCACCCCAGTATAGTCGACAAAGACGTATGTTGAGGCACCGGTGACGTCACCACCGAACGCGCAGCTACAAATACACGCACAACCGTTGGAGCGCACCTAACTGCAAGTAGCCGACCTAAAAGGATTATCATAATGTTCGGGAATCAAAACAAACGTGGAAAATTATATAGACCAAAAGAGGTAATAAGTAAATCTTATAATATAATTAGTGGCTTTTACAAGTGAAAATATATTGTTGAAATAAGGAAAATATAGTGGGAAATACCTTATAACGGAGCAAGTAAGTTGTATTACTGAAAGTACAATATTATAAAGTAATATTAACATTTAATGTTGTAATAAGTAGTAAAGGCAGTATAGCTGCTAAGAAGAGACAGCATATAAAGGACTGATTTGTTCAGGAAAAACTACTCATGTAAGTGAAACAAAATGAAATCAAAATAGTTTAAACTAAACAAATATATTTACAGTTTTGAGCTGTGTTAAAACAACACTGCTACAAAAAATTAGTTTTTAACTGATCCGAACAACGTAGTTCTACGTCAAAACAACAGCAGGTAATACGCACTTTCGAAGTAGCAGTGATTGGACAGATACTCACCGCTGTGGATTGAGGCGGCGTTGAAAAGTGGCAGCAGAAACATTGAAGTCAAATTGTCCACTAACATCGTTAAACCAAGAAGACATTATCCTGATAGGATTGTGTTGACCATAACGGCTGTTCCGGGTAGCAAGGTGCAGGAAATTACGTTGCCTCAAAGGTCTTTGCGGCGCATATACGTTCAATTTATCAAGAATATCTGGGGCATGGATTTCATTGGTCATTACCTTAGCGACGAAGATGGCTTACAAATTGGATCTTCGCTTCTCCAGAGTATCGATGCCTAACAGCAAACAACGATGTTCATATGGAGGAAGATTTGACGAATCACGCCAGGGTAAGTGCCCAAGAGCGAGGCGCACAAACTTTTTCTGCACCGCCTCGATACGGTCAATCCAGTTTCTGTTGAACGGGCACCATACCAGCACGGAAGATTCCAAAATAGATCGAACCAGTGCACAGAAAAGGGACTTCAGGCAGAGAGGATCATGAAATCCATCAGCAAGCTTAAACATGAAGCCGAGCTGTTTATTGGCTTTTGCAATCACGTCTTCGTAATGCGGTCGGAAAGTGAGTTCGCGGTCCAATATCACACCGAGATCCCTAACCTGATACAAGCGCTCGAGAGTTTGTCCACACATGCTGTAGTTGAAATTGATTGGTTGTTGCTTCCTGCTGAATGATATTGTGTTGCATTTGGCTATGCATAAATCGAGTAGGTTTCGCTTGCTCCAGTCCTCGAACGAATCTAATAACCTCTGCAACTCCAGGAAATCCTCAGTGCACGTGATGATCATAAAGATCTTAACATCGTCGGCATAGAATATTCGCTGTCCACGTGGCAACACAAAGGCAATCTCATTTATGATTAATGAGAAAAGCAGCGATCCAAGATTACTCCCTTGCGGTACGCCAGAAGGAATCATAAACGGCTCCGAATGTGACGAACCAATCCTTACTCTCACGGATCTTTCAGACAGATATGATCTAAACCAGCTAACAAGCGCGGAAGATACCCCAGCTTCTCGAGTTTTTGCAACAGGATATCATGATGTGAACCAGCGTCCATAGAGCGTATGCAGAGTGAGGTGAACTGAGTGAGGTTAGTAGTAACCGATCGTTTCGGGTAGTTTTTGGTGGCTTCAAAGAGAGCGTTGTTTACAATTATTTCAAAACCTTAGAGCAAGCGCTCAAGGACGTTATCCCACGGTAGTTGACGACGTTATATTTGTCACCCTTTTTGTGAATCGGTGACAGAAACGAAGTTCTCCATCCAGCAGAAAATGTTTGCTGTTGGAACGAGAGATTGAACAGTTTTACTAACGGTGTCATCAGAGAACTCGAGCAGTTTTTCAACACAGATGAAGGAATCCCATCAGGACCGGGTGACACGGAATGTTTGAGCTTGCGTAATGCATTTTCGACATGCTCCCCGCTGATCTGGAAAATTCCAAAGTCGATGCTGTCTAGCGGCGTATTACGAACAGCAGCCTCTATCTGCGGTGGCGTAGCAGGCGTAATTGAGAAGACATTCTTGAAGTGTTCAGCAAAGATCTCACATTTACTAGAGGCTGTGCTAGCAAATCGGTCGCCGAAATACATGGACGTAGGCAATCCATCTTCCTTGCGTTTAGTACGAACAAAAGACCAGAACTGTTTGGGATGTAGACGTAAATTTATCTGCGTACGATCAACGTATCGAGCATACAATAGACGGTTATACCGTGTGTACTTGTTACTGGCCATTACATAGCGATGTTTGGAGTGCTGCGAACGACTCCGACTATACGTTCGAAGTGCAGATCGCCTACGGCGCTTCAACTGGCGGAGGCTCCTGTTCGTCCAAGGAGGCTTCAGTGTAGAGCGCTGAAGAGGCACGTGAGCTTCGATGACTTGACGTATCTCCGTGTTGAAAATACATACAATATCGTCCAGATCCTGATCAGAATCCAAAAATTGTCAATCGATTGATAATAGCGCATCATTCATCGAACTATAACCTGCCCGACGAAAATTGAACCGGCAGTCGTCTAGAGATGGTTCTAATGACACTGGTACCGAAATAGAAACGGTGACGTCAATAGCAGGATGTGGAGTATCGATTTCTACGAGCGATTCAGCCGCTTCGGATACGCAACAGTCATTCACGAGTACTAAATCGAGGATCCGTGAACTGGAGTTCTTCACAGTATTGATTTGTGTCAAACCCTGGAAGCAGAAGGCATCGTACAATGCACAACTACACAACAAAAAATTCTGAATTTTACTGGCGATGTAAAATCCATGCATGCAAACATTCATACATGTAAACTTCCTTTTCACGTAAATTAGCAGCTTGCAAGAAATGTTGCAAACAAAAGTGAACAGTTGCATACAATATATGGAATATTGCATGACATGTCTCATAAATTTAAACGATCTATAATCTAAACTTGTATGATATATGACGCTCCATTTATGTGCATCATAGTAACGGAAATTTACACTACTTTTTAAGCTGTGTAGCATTCGTTAATCTGGATGTATGGGAATCTATTGTGAGGCCACCATCCTCTGATGGTACCCAGTGCATTTCAGGATGATTATAATCTCCAAACTGGAAAGCAAAGTCATGAGGCCTCAAGCCGGAAAGGATTGAATCAATGGAGTCAGTATGCTGCTGTATTTATGAGCGACAGATCGTCTCTACAATCAGGTGGTAGATAAAGCACTCCAATGCTGACATCATAGTTCTGCAGTTTTATTTTGATCCAAAGTTGCTCGAGAGCATTACTTATCGGAGCTGGATCAATACAGCAACACAATTTAGAAGAGACGGCCTGAACACAGTGTAAGAGTCATTGAATAATTGAGTAGACAAGATGTAATCGTTCAGCCAAGTTTCAGTTAGCACGATAACATCATATTCCGAGTCAGTTGTAGCTAAGAAGAAAGAATCTATCTTTGTCCGAAATCCTCGTGCATTCTTATAGTATATGCGTAGCTCGGAACTTCTCGTCCGTTCCTCGGCAGAATGCAATGAATTTGAGTGGGTGTTGCGCTGAAATCCAAATGTTGATCACGAGGAGAATAACCGAGAAAGCACGCATACTTGCCTGAAAAACCAGGATGGGAGACCCTCGCCCTATCTCCGACCACAGGGCCGGAACGACTTTGAAGGCAGGATACCACACATGACTGGCAGGAAACGGCAATTGGCTCGACTGGGTCAGAGTGAACGAGGGCTCCCAAGATACCTTGTTGCGTGCGTTCCGGTTGAATGATCGTCGTAGTACTCGAATAGACATTTTCCTCATTGCTGCATGAAGGGTCTTTGCTATGAATCGAAGCGCTGGAACACGGAAACTGATCAGGAAGGAAATTTTCATGAACACGTGCATACTTGCCTGCACGAGAAGGTTGGGAGACCCCGTCACCGATCTCAACAACAGGGCCAGATATGTTTTGGATATGTTTCACAATTAAGTGTGAGACACACAGTACTGATGAAGCCCCCGATTTCTCTGCCTCAGTCGCGCTTACTCCAGCCAGCGCTCAGCATAGTCGTTTCGGCCCTGATTGTAAATATAGGTCGGCGGTCTTGCAGCCAGCTGTTACTGGCAAGTATATTGATAATTCAGCCTCTGCTTTGCCTGATACCGCTGTGATGTCGACGATTTTTGCGTAGCTACCTCGGATCCTGGCCAAACCATGAGCAGAATTGATATCAATCCCGAGATGTTTTCTAAGGCATCCTCGAAACTCAAGTCGTCGTAAAATCAGGATTCTGACGGAATTCCGTCGGCGTTCCTCAAAACACACTTGAACAGTTTGTTGTCTCCACTGCTTCACGTTTTTCAACGGTCCGTGGACATCGGCGTTTTCACATCCTGTTGGAAGCTAGCGCACATGTTTCCAGTACACAAGAAAGGCAACAAACAGGACGTTGGCAAGTACCGTGGCATCACTTCGCTTAGCGCTGTTGCTAAATTGTTCGAACTCGTTGTTATGTTACTAGCTCACTGTAAGCCGTATATTAGTATCGACCAGCATGGTTTCATGGCTGGTCGCTCCACTGCCACTAACTTGCTGTGCCTTACTTCCTACATCTCTAACAGTAGGTCGGATCGTGCTCAGACGGATGTCATTTATACTTACTTATCTACAGCCTTCGATAAATTGACCGCAAAACTGGACAGGCTTGGTATCCACGGCTGCCTTTTGTTATGGTTTCAGTCGTACCTCACCGATCGTTATCTTACTGTTGTCATTAATGATCACCAGTCCCGTATGTTCGCTACTACGTCCGGCAAATCCCAGGGTAGTCACATGGGACCGCTGATTTTTCTGATTTGTTTCAACGACGTGAATCTAGTAATGAATACAGCGCAATCGGTGGTTTACAGAGACTCTTCAATAGAATCTCCGCACTATTTTACTTTGACCTGACTCGCCAGCTGCTTCACCGGAGGTTTAGTTCGTTTTTTTCTCTAGATCAGTTGAGTTTGTCTAGCAATGTTCCTTTTTTAAAGAGATGACTATTGACTATTTGATGTTTAGTTTTCGTACTTTTCATGTTTAGTTTAGGCTACATCATTGTGGCCAATAACGCCTGTTGATGTTTAGTCATAAATAAATAAATATGCTACTCTGAGTAAATAAAAATATGGACAGGAACATGAACCGTCGTAGCAACTCATTAGTTTAGGGTTTTACACAGGTTAAAGGAGCATTTTTCTAAAAAGGTTACTTACCATCTTCCCCATAAAAATTCTAGAAACTATACAGAAATGAAAAATTAACTTTAGAAATACTATGCTTCTTAAACTTTGGAATAATGCCATTTTACTGCGAAGCTACCCAGATTTTCTGTCCCGCCTTTGTTTTATGTTTAGTCGGAGGAGCATAGCGACGGGCAATCGCCTAAAAAAAGAACCTGCTCAAGAAGATTCCAAAAGAAAATTATTTTGGATGTGCATTCTAGATGTTTACCCGTCACTCCGTTCCTATGACTAAAAATTCACGGGCAGGACAGTAAATCTGAGAGCTACGCAGTAAAAGAGCATTTTCCAAGGTTTAGGAAGCATTCCATCGGGTATTCTAAATTACGGTAGTTGATAAATTATCCCAATATATGATGACGTCCTTTTGAACGCGATCCACGTGTACTACCAAGTTTGCAGCTTTATTTGAATACTTAAATCCCTCACACCAGAGCAAATCGTGTCGTAAAAAACAAAACAGAAAGCTTGGAACTCACATATCCTTACTTCTTGTATGATTTATTTCATTTGCCCGGATATATGTATGTTTTTGCCATAGATCAGAGCAACGTGTCTATTCTCAGCCTTATCCCTCTGAATCACGTGAAGACGTCTGTTACATTTTTTTCTCTTACCAGCAAGGAATGCAATAATATATCGCAGATTTATAAGCACACAGCATACTTACGCAAAGCTTACCCTTTTCATTCCATTGATAGATGCCAACAGCAGAGCGAGTTTTGCCATCAGGAATGCTTTCCCACTGAGCGCTGCTAGGAACTGGAATCCCAGTGGAACCGCGAACATACCGAATACTGTCACTCCGAATATCATCATCGGTATCATCTGCTGTCGTTGGCGACGATGACGTCCTACAGGGAACCGGAAAATGGAAAATTGATGTGATGTTTGAACGCAACGAAAAACTTGTAAAACATAGTCTTTGATGGGTAATCTATTGCTGTCATCTAATAAACATCATAAACAAGTTATTATAGCCGAGAAAATTGCTGAAGCACGTCTATGTTGATCGTGTCAGTGTTGCATAATTAATTCTATACCTCTTGCATCTGATTTGGTTATGTCACTTTCAACTTTGAAGCCAACTGGCAAAGATTGCTGCTAAACTTGGAACCGAAAACGACATAGCATGCTAGCCCAGTTATCCCGGTCATTCAGCAGCTGCATAATTATCCAGAGCACGTCATCGCTGGACTCTGCCAGCGCAATTTGATTGGAGTTTACCCATCCCAACAGCAAGGGATCCATAATAACGATCTGCGATAATTGAGTTGCTATGTCGCTAATGGCTATTTGCACGGTAACGTTGCGTTCATTTACAATGTCGCGACGTGTTTGCTTGTCGCCGAAAGTGCGTGGAGCAATAAAATCAATCTGATGTCAAGTTCGCTGGCCTGACAGATGGCAAATTGTGTACGGCTTGATAGAAATGTGATTGGATTCAAAATCATAAGAAGTGATTGTACAATGGGGTAAAGGTCGGTCGTAATTCATTTGTTTTAAAAGGACTAATTTGTATGTTTTGTCCAACAATAGGAAAGTATAGCAATAGAATCGTTTCCCAACGCTGGTAATTTGAAGGTAATTTTGAAAGAATATGGCTTAAAAAAATGTTTTCTACTTCATTGTATTATACCTCAGAACCATTTGAATATTATCTTATATAGTCATTTTTATATATCTAAGATATGAGCCACCAGTGACAATTGACGTGTTTAGTTGGACTCTAAAGAATCATATATTTGCTAAGTAGCCCATATTCAAGGGGTAAGTCACTCAGCACCGAAATTATATTGTACACAGCTTGGGCACATTTTCGACACAATCTCGCAGGCATTGGATTGTTGTTAATAAAATGGGAGCACTGATGGACAACTGTCATTGAAGTTGTTCAAAACATTACGTGCTGTTTGACTGTGTTAATCAGACAGTTAATCAGACCTCATTAGTACCCTTAATTCAAATAATACTGCAACTCACTAAAGAAGTCTATTCACCACCCTCTATAGTCGGTCTCCAACAATGCTCCCCACCGGTTCCAACTCTTTCCGGCCGAAAGATTAGGTTTGAGGGCATTACAAAACACTAAAACACGGGACTTTTATTACACTATGGATCACAAAACACCGAAATGGCTGAAGTGCGAAAACACACCCGCCACTTCCCACGTCATCCTCAATCCGATTTATCCTTGCGATTTCAAACCAAAACATTCAAGGTGTCAGAAATACCGGATTGCCAGGATGGGTGTTTTGCAAACAATCGCAGCTTGCTCTATGACCGGCACAATCGGCATACTTTCGACACACTGACAAAAAAGATGACCCAAAATTGGTGTGCGGAGTGACCTACCCCTTGTCTATTTTGCTTTTTCTTCAATTTTGCGAAAACATTTTTTTTAGCTAAAATGTGCTGCAAGATAGATGCGTATCATTGCGTATCAATAAAAACCTACCCACTTGATAGAATTTTTGTAATTTATGTTGGCTCTCATTATGCTCGAAAAAATCGCAGATGGTCCTTACAATCAAAACAATTTATCATTAAGAAAGGTATACAGAGTTTCCTGTATAGCTTTTAGAATATAAAATCGTTGAAAATAGATTTTAGTCATTTCAACAGAAAATTGTTAAACTTTGTCATTTATCTTATTTGTATTTGATATATTTTTTTTGATAAATATTTGAATCAATCTAAACAATATTTCACTATTCGATTGTTATCATCAAATGTTGACTAAATAACTCAATATATGACGTTCCAAACACATTTCAACGCTAAAATCTAAGAAAAATAATTATGACCAAGTTTTGTATGGAGCCACCCCACTGTGCAATGGTGGCTATTTTAATCTACAAAGTTGTTCACGGTTTAAGGTTCACTTACATGGAAACAAATGTCAATCATTCGCAATTAGTTCACCAGGCTCGCGAAAGATCTATAAAAAAAAAGCCAAACAGCCAGTGTCTGTCCGGCTGTTCATCTTTTGTGCTTTGGGAAGAGTTAGGTATGACATTCTAAAGCTACGGAGCTTGCATAACATAGAGTAAGCGGTTCTAAAACTTATGAGGGTTGAAACCCTCTTTTGAAAATGTCATGATCTCACGATCCACCAACATTGAAGACGGATGTTTTAAGACCAAATATTAAATTATTAATTATTAAATATTAATTATAATAAAAGCCCAATCCTCATGTCAAACACTCCAGATGCAGAAGAGACGACCACAAATCACAGACCCTGAGGTGGTTGAAGTGGAAAATTCTTAATGGTGTGAACAATGTCACGTGATGAGGAAAATGTTGCGTCACACAGCATAGAAAATATTGCACGACATGAAATACAGTACTGGCAATAATAAAGTATACACTCCAGTTAAATTTCCCAATTAATATTGCAAGTTTTATTGAGGCTTTAAAGCATTCTTCAAGTGGACAGTATTGGTAGTATTTTTATTAAAAATGCGAATTGGATCCATAAAATTTTACCATTCCACACTCTGCGCCAGATTTGAAGGCAAAACTTCAGCTTTCTTCACAGAAAAATTTAAAACCCCTTTGAGTAGCAATTTAATTTTTAAACATGATTTAAGTGTTAATTATTTTCTGTGTATTTATTTTTTCGGAAGAAACCCAGCCCCACTCTGAAAGCCTCCCTTACAAATAAAACCTAACTTTACCATAAAGATCATTTTATTGCCTACAACTTTCATGAGATTGCACATTGAGATGCACTACACTTACTAGGAGTACGGCAAAGGTTGTCATGGAGAATGTTAATCTCCTATACAAGTGTGACGATTGTCTGTCTAGTTGTGACGAGCCGAGTGATTCGATCTCGCATGTTAGAAATATTGAGGAAGAAGTGAAAAGAATATCTGCTATTTCTGCCTCGATCACAAACATGCGAGATCAGATTGCTGCTCAAATTGATAACGCGTTGAAGACCGGTATGGAAGCTATCCGTTTAAATGTAAATGGTACCCTGAAGGAAGCCGTTGGCGGACTTGAAATATTATTAAATGAAAAATTGGAAAATATGACTAGTTCATTTTCGAGAATTATTGCGGACAAAAATTTAGTTGCAATGAATAATTGCAGTGGATCTGGGCCGATTCCCTCTGAAGCGGGTCAAATCCCCGATGGTAATAGTAATAGTCATGTCGAAGAGAATTCTACTAATGATAAAGTTAAATGTAGTTTCGCTGATGCTTTGAAAAACGGACAAGGGGACAGTAAAAGTAAGGATATCAGTAAAAATAAAGTTGAAAATGATAAAAGTAAGTTTGAAAGTAAAAAACTGAACAACCGTAAGGCTCGCCCGGTCATTGTGATTAAACCTAAAGAGTCCAAACAAGACTGCGAGGAAACTCGCAAGTTTTTGAAAACAAACCTGGACCCAAAAACACACAAAATCAGTAACTTTAGAAACGGGAAAGATGGCTCCATTATTGTTGAGTGTGCAACAGGATACAATGTAAATGAGGTGAAAAAGGGCATTGAAAGCAATTTGGGTGAAAACTACAACGCTGTTGTTCCCACATCGGTGCCAATGTTAAAAGTTGTGGGCATGAGCGATCAGTATTCCTCCGATGTCTTCATTGACTTCTTAAAAAGTCAAAATGAAGACATCGCAATTAATGATGTAAAAGTAGTTAACATGTTTGAAAATCCACGCTTCACTTACAACAAGTTTAGTGTTGTGATTGAAGTCGATATCGAGACGTATAAATGTTTGTTATGTGCGAAAAAAGTAAATGTAGGGTTTGATCGGTGCTCGATAGTTCCCGCGATTAATGTTTTGCGATGCTTTATATGTGGAGAATTTGGGCACAAAAGCACGGATTGCAAAAATTGCGAACGATGCTCTAGATGCAGCAAACAACATAGCACCTCTAAGTGTACGTCAACTGTATTGAAATGCGTTAATTGTTTAAAAACTAATAAGGAGCGTAAATTAAATCTGGACGTCAACCACGCAGCATTTAGTTCTAATTGTTTTGTGTATAAAAAACTATATGATCAGAAAAAAGCAGCTTACATTTCAATAAATAGCAACCAAGTTCCAGTAGTAATGTGAGTAAATTAGAGATTTTATATTTGAATATTGCGGGGTTATCTACAAACTACGTAACATTACGTCAGATTGTAGAAGAAAATCGTCCACTTTTGGTTTTGTTAGCAGAAACACATATTGTAGAAATTGAATCTTTTGATCAGTATAGCATTCCGGGATATAAAGCTGCTGCTTGTTTGTCACATTCGATTCGATTTGTTTCATGCATTGGGAATTCAGTGTGTTGACTGTGTAGTGGAGCTCCACCCGTCATCAAGGAGGCGGACGACGGGAGATGAAGCAAAGTGTGGTGCTTCTTTTGGCAATACTTGCAGCACCCACTGGTACAGTTTCTTGCTTGGTGGGATGCTTTGATGCAATTGATGCATAGGTTGTTCCGTTTAACTAAATCGAAACGTTGATGCGGAGTTTGATCACGAAAGACCTCGCATTGGAACAGAAAATGCGCTTGTTTGCACGCAGCGCATTTAGGAGTTTGTTCTGTGGCCGAATGGGCCAACACTTGTCGTGACTTCGTAGGCTTGGTCTCCATCGACGGTGTACAAACTAATTGGGAGAGCTTGAGGGACTGCAGTGTGCGTGAGTGATCATGGATAAACTTTATGAGATCGTCGTACGAAGGACGCTGGGTTTTGTCACGGTTATTTTCCCACTGTTTCTGTGAGGTGGCATCCATACGACTGAAAAGGAGCTCCACCAACACAGAATCCCAATGCTGCGCCTTGGTTTCTAGAGAGTCCAAGATTTTCACGTGTTTCTCGAACTCATCTGCCA